TCAAGTCCTTTAATCTGCTCCACTGCAGCAACCTGCTCTTCTGGAGGGACATCACCGACTGCAGTGTGACTACAGACTCTGCTGCAACATCAAGAAAGAAGGTTAGTGCAGACACCAACATTCACTTGCACGTCCAGAACTTAGTCAAAGCCACTAACTCTTCTGTCTTGACAGATTAGACCCAGCCCAGGACCCAGACCTTCACCAGAGTTTTTCCTGTTCACAAAAAAATTGTTAAACTGCTCTTGTCTTGTTGTGGTTGTTGCTGATCCAAAACCCAGATCTTGTCACGGATGATCAAGCTTCTCACCCTATCTCTAAGGGAGAGCCCAGACACCCTGCGGAGAAAACTCATTTGGCCGCTTGTATCCGAGATCTCGTTCTTTTGGTCACAACCCAAAACTCATGACCATAGATGAGGGTGAGAACATAGATCGATCGGTAAATTGAGAGCTTCGCCTTTTGACTCAGCTCTCTCTTCACCACGACAGACCTGTGCAGCACCCGCTTCACTGCAGATGCTGCACCTATCCGCCTATCAATCTCACGCTCCATTTTTCCCTCATTTGTGAACAAGACCCCAAGATACTTGAACTCCTCCACTTGGGGCAGGACCTCCTCCCTGACCCAGAGAGGGCACTCTACCCTTTTCCGGCTCAAGACCATGGCCTCAAATTTGGAGGAACTGATCCTCATCTTAGCCGCATCGCACTCGGCTGCGAACCGCTCCACCGAAAGCTGTAGATCACGATCTGATGAAGCCAATAGGACAACATCATCTGCAAAAAGCAGAGATGCAATCCTAAGGCCACCAAAGTGGATCACCTCAACACCTTGGCTGCACCTAGAAATTCTGTCCATAAAAGTTATGAACAGAATCGGTGAAAAAGGGCAACATTGGCGGAGTCCAACACTCACCAGGAACAAGTCCAACTTACAGCCGGCAATGTGGACCAGGCTCTGACACCGGTCATACAGGGACCTAACAGTTCGTATCAAAGGGCCCATTACCCCATACTCCCAGAGTACCCCCCACAGGGTTCCCCGAGGGACGCGGTCAAACGCCTTCTCCAAGTCCACAAAGCACATGTAGACCAGTTGGGCAAACTCCCACGCACCCTCCAGGACCCTGCTGAGAGTGTAGAGCTGGTCCAGTGTTCCACGACCAGGACGAAAACCGCACTGCTCCTCCTGAATCTGAGGTTTGACTATCCGATAAACTCTCCTCTCCAGAACTTCCGAATAGACCTTACCAGGGAGGCTCAAGAGCATGATTCCCCTGTTGCTGGAACACACTCTACGGTCACCCTTTTTGAATAGGGGGACCACCACCCCAGTCTGCCAATCCAGGGGAACTTCCCCCGATGTCCACGCAATATTGCAGAGTCGCGTAAGCCAACACAATCCTAGAACATCCAGAGCCTTAAGGAACTCCGGGCGAATCTCATTCACCTCTGGGGCCCTGCCACCGAGGAGCTTTTTAACCACCTCGGTGACCTCAGCACCAGAGATTGGAGGGCCCGACCCAGAGTCCCCTGGCTCCGCTTCCTCAGTGGAAGACATGATGGTGGGATTGAGGAGGTCTTCAAAGTATTCTGCCCACCGACCCACGACATCCCGAGTTGAGGTCAGCAGCGCACCACTCCCACTATAAATAGTGTTGGTGGCGTATCGCTTTTCCCCCCTGAGACGCTGGATAGTGGACCAGAATCGCCTGGAAGCCGTACAGAAGTCATTCTCCATGGCCTCTCCAAACTCCTCCCATGACTGAGTTTTTGCCTCAGCGACCACCCGAGCTGCATGTCGCTTGGACTGCTGGTACCCATCAGCTGCTTCCGGGGTCCCACAGGCCAAAAAGGCCCGATAGGTCTCCTTCCTCAGCCTGACAGCATCCTTCACGACGGTGTCCACCACCGGGTTTGAGGGTTGCCGCCACGACAGGCACTGACAACCTTGTGGCCGTAGCTCCGGTAAGCCGCCTCGACAATAGAGGCACGGAACATGGCTTACTTGGACTCAATGTCCCCTACTTCCCCCAGAATATGTTCGAAGTTTTCCCGGAGGTGGGAGTTAAAACTCAATCTCACAGGAGACTCTGCCAGACGTTCCCAGCAAACCCTCACAACACGTTTGGGTCTGCCAGGTCTGACTGGCATCCTCCCCCACCATCGGAGCCAACTCCCCACCAGTTAGTGATCAGTGGACAGCTCTGCCCCTCTCTTCACCCGAGTGTCCAAGACATGTGACCGCAGATCAGATGAGATGATTACAAAGTTGATCATCAAACTGCAGCCTAGGGTGTCCTAGTGCCAAGAGCACATATGGACACCCTTATGCTTGAACATGGTGTTCGTTATTGACAATCCATGACGAGCACAGAAGTCCAACAACAGAACACCACACGGGTTCAGATCAGGGGGGCCGTTCCTCCCAACCACACCCCCCTCCAGGTCTCACTGTCTTTGCCCACATGAACATTGAAGTCCTCCAGCCGAACAAGGGAGTCCCCAGGAGGTGCACTTTCCAGTACCCCCTCCAAGGATTCCAAAAAGGGTGGATAATCTGAACTGCCATTTGGTGCATGAGCACAACAACAGTCAGAACCCATCCGCCCACATGTAGGTTGAGGGAGGCCACCCTCTCATTCACTGGGGTGAACCCCAACACACAGGCACCAATATGGGGTCAATAAGTATGCCATTCCTGCTCGGCGCCTCTCACCAGGGGCATCTCCAGAGTGGAAGAGTGTCCAGCCCCTCTCAAGAAAACTGGTTTCAGAGCCAGAGCCATGCGTAGAGATGAGTCAGACTATTTCTAGCCGGAACCTCCCAACCTCACACACCAGCTCAGGCTCCTTCCCCACCAGTGAGGTGAGATTCCACGTCCCAATAGCCAGCTTCTGTAGCCGAGGATCAGACCGCCAGGGTCCCCGCCCTCGGCCACCACCCATCCCACATTGCACCCGACTCCTTTGACCCCTCCCACAGGTGGTGAGCCCATGGGAAGGGGGACCCACATCTCCTCTTCGGACTGTGCCCGGCCGAGCTTCATGGGTAAAAGCCTGGCCACCAGGCACTCGCCCGTGTGCCCCACCTCCAGGCCTGGCTCCAGAGTGGGGCCCCGGTGACCCACGTCTTGGCGAGGGAACATCAAGTCCATTTATTTTACTCATCATAGGGGTCTTTGGGCTGCACTTTGTCTGGTCCCTCACCTAGGACCTATCTGCCTTGGGTGACTCTACTAGGGGCGTAAAGCCCCTGACAGCATAGCTCCTAGGATCATTGGGACACTCAAACCCCTCCACCACGGTAAGGTGGCAGCCCAGGGATGGGCTCTTCAAAAACCCTTAATAAATCTCTTGAGAGAAAAAAAAATATTAACAGCTTTGAGTGTGGAATACAACACAGGTTAATAAGTTCACACAGAACAATGTAAGGAACTTGTATACAAGTGTAATAATTCATCAAGTTGACGTTTCGGAAGAAGACAAATGAAGTTTAAGTGTGGGAAGCCACACCAGCAGGTGAAGCATCCATTTGGAACCAATCAAAGCTGCTCTATACATACCTCCTTTCCATTGAAGATGACAGGAGTACCTGCAAAATGAGCCTTCTTTCCATCATTCTTGGCAGCTTCAATTATAGGCCACAGCTTGTTTCGTGTTGCTTTGTCATTAGCAGTCAAATCTTCAGAAAACCTCAGTATGTTGTTTTTGAGATATTCACTTTTTTTGCCATCTTCCACAGAAGGTCTCATGTAGATCCATTTGTGAAGCAGATGATGGTTGTCCTGGGCCTGTTTGCTGTTCCCTGGTACCTTCTTAGGCGGTGGACGACGTCAATGGCATCTGCAATTTTCTGATGAGAGTCAGGCACCCCAGCACAGCAGATACTGACAACCTTGGCCTTGATGTCTTCTGGGTTACCTTCAGGGATGCCATGGAGTCTCAGATTCCATCTCCGTCCATATCTATCAAGCTCATTTTTTAGTTGCAGTTCTGCAATTTGCCAGTCATATCTTTCGTTGGAGACTTTGACCACTCTCATGTCATATTTTAGAGACTCAACTTCTGCGAAGGTGAAATCTATGGATTTTTTCAGGGCTTCGATGCTCACTGTGTTTTTGGTAATCATGCCCTCCAGGTTGGCTGCACGCACATTGACTGTAGCAATAATGTTATCCTGCAGGTCTGCCAAAGATAGCTCTGCTTTTTGTTTTTTTGCTTTTGGCTTGACCGGTGTATCAGGGTCAGATGTCTTATGATCAGCATCTTGATTACCGTCACGAGTTTCAAAGATATTATAGTCATGATCGATGTTAGCTAATGCTGCAGCAGTGGATTCAGCGCCAGCTGAGGAGCTTGGTGGTGTTTTTGAAGTATTTATAGGTGTTCTGAAAGTCATACCTTTTTTGTTGGTCAAAGTTTCTTTCTGCTTGCGTTTCTGTCCTTGTTTGTTTAACTTCATGCTGGTAAATTTTGAGGCTCCACACTGTAGCGATGTAGCTATTTAGCTGTATTAGCTGTGCGTTCCGATGGGCAGAAAGGGCAGTTAACTCAATATTCACAGTAAAAAACAGTATTTGAGAGATTGTTGACACTTTGTTCGTGGGTTTAGTGCATCAAAGTAATAGTCAAAGCATGAAATTAAGGGATAGAAATCCTAAGCGCTGCTCATCCACTGAAATTTGCATCTGTTCCGGTCGCCATCTTGTCCGACCCCTTCACTTTCAGTTCTGGTTTGTCTTACAAAATTTAAATAGCACAAAGTAAACAGATAAATTAATTTACTTTAAAACAACTGAAGATCAATGGAAGTTATTTCTGTTAGCGCTGCAAAGATAAAGTATATTCATATCAAAAACCAACATGAAATGTTTGGATTTCAAACAGTATTTTTTTATTCTTTAACATAGTATATCCTTATCATGGTCTAATAATAAATTGAACATAGCACATTGTTCAAACATTAAAGTGTAAATGTTTGAAGGTGATAATGTAAAGTGTGGATGAGGAAACAGAAGAAGCAGAAACAGTCCAGTCAGAGTGTCTGCATACAAGCTGCTGCTGCTTCAACCTCTGTGGATCATCAGGACACAGCTCATCTTCTCCCACAAACACACCATCATGTTCAGCTCTCCACAACAAACGTCACCACCTCCATCTGTAGAGAGAAGAAGAAGCAGCAGAAGAGATAAATGAGTCTTTCAGAGAGACCAACACAAACTTCAATCACAACACATTGTGCAACATCTTTGGGTAAAACTTAGTAACTATTGGGAGTCAACCCTGCTTGTCTGTTAGCAAAATATTTCATAAACCACTGGATGGATTTTATTTAAACTTGCAGTAAATAAATCTGAAATGTTCACCTTCAACTGATTAACTTTTGGAGTCAACACAATTCAAGATGGCTGCCACAGCTAATCAAATTGAGCCTAGACATAAATATGTGTAAGTCAGTGAATTTGACAGATCCTGATGTAAAATGTGGTGTGGTAGTAGCTGACAGTCATTCACAACATCCTCCAAGCACTAACAGATCAGCTGAGACCTCACATGATCACATGACATGTTATTTTGGTGAGTGATCCGCATTCCTTCAAGTAACGCTCGCTCTTTCCTTCTTTTCTTGTCTTTCTGTTTGATCCTGAAACCAGTCCCTGTTCTCCTCTCATACATTCATTCAGAAATACAGTTACTGGGAAGCTGCAGGTTTACTGGAAACACTTGATCTTTGCTTTGACAACAATCGGCTTTAGTCCAATTCTGCTGAAAGCAGCAGGAACGACTCCAACCTTCTACTGACCTCAGAGTCTGCAGTCTGTAGTCTGGACTCTCCACAAGATCCAACAGCTGCTGAACATCTGGATGCTGAAGGTTGTTGTCTCTCAGGTCCAGTTGTCTCAGATGGGAGGGGTTGGACTTCAGAGCTGAGCTCAGAGAAGAACAGCTGATCTCTGACAAACTGCACCAACTCAATCTGAATAAAGAATAAAACATGTAAGTTTAGAAACAAAACAAAACTTTTAAAAATTCTGAACTCTGAAAAACTTTGATCCAACTGAAAGATGTTTTGATCAAACCTTGAAAAAATCTTTATGTTCTATCTCCAGAGATATTGTGATATCTTGAACAATCTGACATGATTACTTAGCTCTTGAAGAATGTTGTGAATGACTCTCAGCTACTACCACACCACATTTTAGCTCAGTGTCTGTAAAATTCACTGAGGTAAAGACACTTCTGTGTTGGCTGAGGTCAATTAGCTGCAGCAGCCATCTTGAATGAGGTCGACTCCAAACAGTAATAAGTTTGAATAATTAATCCAAAGATTAATTGTTGAAAGTTTCTTTGAAATCTGTTCAGTGGTTTATGAGATATTTTGCTAACAGACACACAGGACTGACTCCAACAAATTATATCAAGGTTTTAGACAAAAATGTTGCACAATGTGTTACACTCAAAGTATGTGTTGAGTATGATGCTCAGCTCCTACCACAACAACTGTCAGCTCAACATCTGTCAAACTGGCTGAGTTATAGTCATGTTGGTGTTTCCTGAAGTCAGTTGGCTGTGGCGGCCATCTTTAATTAATTTAATTCAGGAGTTATTCAGTTTTACATGTTTTTTTTTCAAATATTAGTTTCTGAGAGTTTCACTAAGATATTTTCAGTTGTCTCTGATATATTTTGCTAACAGACAAATTAAACTGATTTCAATAGTGAATGGCAAAGTTTTAAGCACAGATGTTGTTATGAAACAGCACTCAGAGGAAAAGATGGAGGTCAGTCTCAGCTACTACCACACTGACATTTTACTCAATTCCTGTAAAATTGACTGATATAGAGTCATTTTGTTGTGGCAGCCATCTTGATTCAGGTTGACTCTAAAATATATCAGTTGTAGACACACACACACACACACACACACACACACACACACACACACACACACACACACACA